CATGGGAGACCAGGAGAAGTACCTGGCTCCTGCCATCGGATCAGCGTGATGTGCCGGCCGCAGCGCACCGGCCGCGGTGGCCATTGGAGGGTGAACCAACGGCAAAGGAAGACCTTTCTTTCTGTCTCTCTTTCTCACTGTCCACTCTGCCTGTCCAAAAAAAAAAAAAAAAAAAAGTGTGCATTTTTTTGGTCTTCCTATGAATTTAACTGAACTTTTGCATTCATTTGCACATTGGACTCTTGCCTGGGTATCCTGAAATCAAAATAAGGGTCTAGTGTAGCTCATGGCATTGCTGGGGGTCCTTACCTGGCGCTGTGGTGTACTCCACATGGCTGACTCAGGATTTGGTGCCTTTTGCCTTCTTGCTCTCTGTTTGCACCATGCTCTTCCTACATGTTGCCCCTCTGGGTCTTGGGGCAAACTCTTTGTCTAGTCTCCAGGAGTTTTGCATGACTAAGTCATAGTAATAACACATACTAGAATTCACCACCAAGTGGCCAATATCAAGATTTCCCCATTAACAGTGGCAACAATTAATAGAGGATCCTTGATAGAGGATGATTGAGGAGGAGGCAGGAAAGGTCATATAAGAAACAGTTTTGTTGGCAGCAATGTAAGAATAGTATGGTTAACATGTTAACTTAGCTGGTGGCTAAGTATTCAACTTGAATTTTTTTGGTTAATCCTCATGAGACTCATAAAAAATGCTAATAATACTCCCGTTTTACAGATGTGCAGACTGAGGCACAGAGAGGTGAGGTGACATTTGCAAACAATGTGGGATAATGGTTTTTAAAGGGCATCTGACCAGAAGACTTAAATTGCTAAACATATGTCTTAAAATTGCATCCAATTAAATAATGTGCTAATCTTTTTTAAAAATGCACAACTTGAAGGTTTTAGAATTCTCTTAATATCAAATCTAGAAATTAAAGCAAACCTTGATCTTTGTTTTCAAGGATTTGTGTGAAAGTATAATAGCTTAGTCACCAATTTCAATTTTGGAATTATAAACTTCAGTGAGTTTTAGTGAAAATAATTGAAACTTAATATACTCATATTATCAGTAATTCTACCAAGGTGTTGTTAAATTAATTCTCACTCTCGAGTAATAGCTACAATTTTTAAAGAACGTATTAGCGTAGGCCAGGGCCTGTACTAACCATTTTACAGTCATTATTTAATTATCAAAAAAGGTCGTAATTACCCCCATTTCACAGATGAGAAAAGAGAGCTTTAGAGATTAAGCGGTGTATTCCAGATCTACGCATCATTGATGATAGTGGACCCAAGACTACAATTCAGGTATGCCTGACAATAAAAACCTTCATCATAACCTCTGTGTTTCATCTTTTCTGTTTAAACAAACCAAAGCATACCAATAAATTATTTGGGAGAGAAAAGCATTTCTAAATGGAATCATTTTTGTTAACCGCACAGATGCCTCCTGAGACAAGGCCCCTGCTGTGTGCAACACCGAATCTTGTGGCTCTGGCTGAGGCCTGGTCCAGATAGGTTATCAGGTCTCAATGATTTCACAGATCTGAGGATGGCCTAAGGGTGCTTTGCGCCCTTGCCAAAACGAAAGCATTCAGAAG